ATATAGATATTCAATTCGGTATTAAATTGGTCCTTATTACAATTAAATTACTTTACAAAACTATTAGTCTCTCCCTTTATTAAATAAAAATTATTTCGCTAAATTAGGGTATAATACTTCTACGAATAAAGGTTAAAATAGTAGATTTAATTTATTATAATATTACTATTATTAAAAGCGGTCTTTAATTAAATAAAGCGGGTATTGCCGTTAATATAAAGGCACGTAACGGGCGAGGCAGGGCTGCAGCGTTGTTGACGTTCAATATAGAATTTACGACTAAAGAGTAAAATAAAAGGTAAGAGTTGTGCGGGCAGCTGGGCTGGAAGATATACTTCCAGACCTCGAGTACCCGGACTACTCTCCTTATCTAATCTATAACTAATCAAATTATTTATATCCGAACAACCGTACAATACAGCTATACGACTGGGCAATAGGCATAGGTCAGTGGGACTGGGCTATAACATCACCCCCCCCTTTTTTTTGAAGATCCTACCCTTAGGATCTCAAAAAATTTGACCCAAATGTGGTTCGAACCCGTGGCCTTTACATACGATCGCTTCCCAGGTAGAGGAGGGGTACCTTCGGGGTAGCCTATAATATAATTTAAAGGCCTTTATTCCTACTACTACGCTATTAGACTAATCCTACGAATTATTATTATATAATTTTTAATAGCGATCGTTTATTAATCCTTCCCTAATTTCTCCTCCCTTACTTACACAATCGATTCGACCTTCTCAATAGCCTTCCTTATACTCCCTTAACGGGTAAATTATCGTCTTTATAATTGCTTAATACTAAATCCTTCATTTAAACGCCTTTCTATATATATAAGCAATATAACGGGCCGGGCTTTTCCGGATTTATATTATAAAAGGCCTTAAATACATCAAACGTATTTTTAAAATTTCAAATAGAATATTAAATAGAATCCGGGTCCTAGCCTTTCTATTCCATTTAATAGTAAAATTTCCTATAAATTAGGCGTAATATTATAATCCTTTCAACCTCCTATTCTTTTTAGTTTCCAACTATCTCTCTTATAGGGTTATTATTTATTTAACTTAATAGGGGATTATTTAAATACTTATAGAATCGGTCAATATAATATACTCTAATACCCCGCTATATAAATAATAGATCTAACTCGTAAGAATACCCGGATAAAGCTTTAATATAATATAGTATACGGGTAAGGGGGAAATCGAATTTATCGCTAGGTCTATCAATAACCTATAATTTCTTAATAATAAAAATACAATCTCCTACTCTAAAATCGGGTTCGCAATAATACTTATTAATTTATATAATTTACTTCTCCTACCTTTTAACTATAATAGCGTAAATAAATTCTTAAAAATTATATAAAATTCTTATTACCTCCTAAACTTCCTCCCTTAAATATCTTTTTTTTACTAAAATAGGGGTTCTAGTACACTAGTCCTAATAAAATAATAATAATATTAAATAATTTATAATAACTTTATACAGGGATATACCGATACTTTTATAGGAGAGAGAGGCTTGAATAATATTAAAGGTTAGAAGTACCTCTAACTAATTATTTTAATTATAATTAACGAACGGTCGAAAGCGCTAATTAATATATTAATTTATTATTTCCACTTAACCCACGGTTTGGGAATATCCTAAAGAAGATAGCTTCCACTTAATACCTAGAATCTTTAATATCTCATTAATAAAGGAAGAAATAAACTACGGACTACAATCGCTAACTACTTCTTCTAAATAGCCGTATATTCTCTATAAACTATAGTAATAAAAATAAATTACTTATTTAACCATTACAATATCTTTATATAATATATACTATAAGGCCTTAAATAAACAATCTACTATCACCATTATATTATTATATCCCCGCCTATCTTTTAATATACTTTTAAAATCTATAATAATATATTACTACAAGCAGTTAAATATTCCCAAAGGGTATAAGAGACCGGGGGTTTTATTACACAAAACCTTTAAAACTTTATAAATCTAATAATTATTAATAAAACGGTTAATATTATTAAATATACCTACCTACTAATATTATTAGGATATAAGGCGGTAGGTTTTATTCCGGCTAGGATATCCAGTAATAAAGCGTACATAAGTTTTATAAATGAGGGTACGACGGAAGTCTCCTTCGGGAACTATAAATTAACTATCTTTCTTAAATAATAAACTATCCGGTCGGAGGGTAAACTCGGGGTTACTATTTTTTACTTTTATTCAATAGACTACTAACGCAGAATCTTTTTAATTAATTTTTAAAAGCATATTAATTAATTCTATTCCAAATAACAATAGGGATTCTTATTTATTATTTAATAAATAGAACTCTATTATTAATATTTATATTTCAATTATAAGTATATTTCCTTTATCTCCGGTATAAGAATATACTTTTTAATTATTTTATTAAAAGAAGCGGAGAGTCCTCTAATCCTCTTTTTTAACTTTAACGGTTCGGAAATCCTCCGATTTCCAAAAAAGGACATTAACTACTACATTCTCTTTACCTAGACGGTAAATAAATTTAAATATATATTATAATATAAATTCAACCTATCCAACTTATTAAGAATTAAGAAATTATTTAATTAAAAAGTATTCTAATATTTAATAATCTATTACAATTAGAAAGGGATAGATTCCTATTAATTTTATACGCTAAATTTCGAAGCCCTTCATTATTACTAATAATTCTTTATTATAAATAATATAATTTATTTTTATAGGAAGTATAGTCTTTAAGTAAAATACTACTAAATATTACTTATTATTTTTGGATTATTATTATAAAATTACATTAGTATAAACTCTATCAGAGGCGTTAATTTCTACTTACATAGGCTTTTTATAATAGAAGTAAGCAAAGACCGGGGTTTTTAATAAACGGTCTTTTAATTTATTAAAAAATATTTAATATTTTTTAATTTATTAAAAAAGTACATCTTTCTTAATAAAATTAGTCAATAAACGAACAACCCTCCCAAATTCCTTTACGAATTTCCTATAAAAATTATAGAAATTAATAAAAAACTAAACTCCTTTTATATTACTAAGCTCCTTCCAATTACAAATAATAAAAACCTTATTAAGATTTACGGAAATACCGTCCGTAGAAACAATAAATCCTAAAAATTTAATAAAAGTAACATAGAATTTGTATTTCTTAATATCAGTTTATAAATCAGCGTTTCAAAACCTCTCCAATACTTTTTTAATATATATTTCATACTCTTCTTCAATTTCGGAGAAAATAAGGATATTATTAATATACGTACTATAAAAATTATCGAAGTAACCTATTAGGACTTTATTAATAAACTATTAAAAAGTAATTAAATTATTTATTAATCCAAAAGGGAGGACCTTATACTTATATACACTATAACGCATACAGAAAATCGTAAAGTCTTCATTATCAGAGAACATTCGAATACGATAGAACACTTAACGGATATTAATTTTAATAAAAATTCTTACTTTAGCGAAATAAGTAATAGTCTTATTAATAAAGAGTAGAAGGTAACGGTCCTTTCGGGAAAGGGCGTTAAATTTACAATAATCTATATAGAATTTTAATCCTCTATTAACTTTAGGTACAAAAAGAACCAGAACGGCCTATAGGGTAATATTTAATTTAATAAACCCCTTATCCAGATTTTTAGCAATATAATCTTAGTAAACCTCCAATTCCTCTAAGGATATTTTATAGAGGGAATTATAATAAAAATCTTCCGGACAAACGCCTTTATTTAAAGAAATATAGTAATCAATATTAGGACGAAAATCAAGGAGAACGTTTAATTTAACTTTACTAAAGACTTTTAGGAAATTATAATATTAATTAGGGATTTCCTTAAGAATTTTCTAACGTAATTCTATTTCGTCTATTTCCAATAAACTACTATAAATATCCTTCTTATCTTTAATAAAGCGTTCCAATTCATATAAACTAATAACGCCGAAATATATCTCTTTTACTATTTTATAAAAGGGTTCGGCATTAATAAATATAAAATTAATTAATTATTCTTTAATTTATCCCTAATTACATTTTAATTAATATTAACCGTACGTATCGCATAATAAATAAAAATCTTAAATTAATATTAACTTTACTTTTCGAAGCAGGGACGGCGGGAGTTCCTCGGGTTCCGGGGAAGAACCATTATCCTATTCAAACAATTAACAATCTATCCAATTAAAATATTATTTTATCGCATTAGGCAATATAAATCGATTTAGTCGTTTCTAAATAATAGAGAAAAGTTACCAGGAAGGGGTAGAAGTAGGGGCTATCTATTAGAATTAGCATTCTCTTCCTAATTTATTAATTTTATTAAATATTACTTTATAATTATCGCAACCATCTTAGCGTCGCTTATCTTCTTTCTCTAATTAAACTTCTCAAGTATCGGCATCCTTCTAAAAATTAGAATATTTTATTAAGGTAGAATCCTTACTAACTTCAAAATCCTAAGACTAATTTAACTTCTAATCGAAGGGGAACAATAATTTAAAATATAATAGGTCGATAAGAACATCGTTTTTTACTAGCCATATATTTCCAATAATCATATCGCATTTTAAACTAAGTAGGACAATAATCCATTAATCCTTAACCTTAAAGTTCTAAATTTTAATATATCCCTTTAATACAACGCTAACCGAATCAGATTAGGCCTTTTTATAGGGTATAATATATCTAGGATTAAAATTATTATATAAGGGCAATTTTAATAATTTTTACAATTTACGGACAAAGGGTAAATTTATAATAATACTAGCATTTATTCCAATATCGATAAAAATATTAAAAATAGTAATAGTAATTCTATTAAATATTATACTATATATTACAAAAAAGGAAGACTTTCCTCCTAAATAATTATAAAGATCAAAATCTAAATATTATATATTAAAAATATCGGTAGTAAATACTTTACCCTAGGGGGAGGCTTGACCTAGGGTATTTAATTTCCCTTAATAGAATTCGAAGTAGTATCTTTATTATTAAAAAGAGCGGATTCTTCGTTAGAAATTAAAGCGTTAAATAAATCCTTAATATTAAAGGAGTCCTTACCCTAAATAATATTAATAATAGAATTTAAATAAATATTAAAGTACTTAACAAATTTCTCTTTATAGGGGTATTCACTACTTATATATCCCTTCCTATAGTAATTAAAATAGCGGCCTTCACAAGTAAATTCCCTTATTTCCTCGGGGGTAGGGCGTTCAAATACTAGAATTTTAACCACAGCTTTAAAAACTAGGGTACTAATCTCTTTCGAATCTTTATTACGGCGGAAGCCTTATTTTCCATTACATTAACGACTCTTTTAAGTATCTATTTAGTTACCTTCGTTAAATAAATTAAGGAGGAGGATATAATCGTTAAATTATTTAAAAAAGTCCAAATAAATAAATTTAACTACTTAATAGAATTCCTTAGTAATTTTATAATAAAGGTTATTTTTTTATTAATTACGGGGGCGGCGGCACTAATTAACCAAATATTAAAAAATATTTTTAAAAATTTAAAAATACTTACTATACTTTATTTCTAAATTATTAAATTCTATAAAAACTTTCTTATAAATACTATAATTATAATACTCTTCCTATAAATATTTTAATAGGTTATTAAAAGTAATTAACTAATTAGGGTAATTAATATCTAAATAAGGAAGTAAAGCTTGGGCTACCTTACTTACTAAATAATTAATAATATAACTAAACTTCTAACGGTTATTATTAAAATAATCAATATTAACCTCAAACTTAATCTTAATTTAATAATACCATATATCGAAAATTACCTTATCTTCTTTATCGTCGTTATAGAATTTTCCGGCACTTTCTTCTTTAACAGAGCGCTTTCTATCAGTAAAATAAATAATAGAAACAATTATAATAGTAGGGGTACTAAAATAAAAACAAAGGTTATAAGGGTTAAATAAATTAGAAAAGTTAAATAGAACGCTATTTTTAAAATCCTTCAAACCCGTAGACTTATTAAAGTCTCTATTAGAGTCGTTTAGGTCTTTACTTCCTACAACCTTACCGGCGGTATTCAAAGCTATTTTTAAAAAAGTTAATAAATACTTATTTTTCTTTTTAAATTGCTAATTCTCCGTAAGGGTTTATTAAAAACCGGTATTAGAGGTATAGAAGTCCATATCAGAGGCCGGGGGGTTAGGGTCTCCGTTAGTAACTTTCCAAAATAAAATTACCGCGACTAAACCGAAGCAATCAACCCAATTTTTAAAGATATAGAAATCCTTATTAATATAATTAAATATATTAGTAAAATCGTTAGACTATTTAATAATATTTATAAATAAAGTAGTACGAATATATATTTCTAAAAATATAACTTCCAAGGATAATTAAATTAAAGTAATAAACTAATTGTAAATTATCGGACTATTAAATAACTTAATCTTAGCATCACCTTTACCTTTAGAAGTCATAGGAATAAAAAGTATAAAGGCATCTCTATTATAATATATATAATTAAGTAGACTATAAAAGCATTCCTTTAAATTACAAATAGGTACTTCCTTATTAAGAAAATAATATATACAATAAATAATAAATTAAATATATTCGAAATAATACTTATAAAATTCCTTAGGAAAGAGGTTCAATAAATTAAACTCCTCAATCTCATTATTATCATCATCGTCTTAACTAATAGTATAGAAAGTAGCGCTTTAAAAATCGAGGCTAATAAAGTCGTTAAAGTCGAGGGACTTACATCTAACCTTTAAGGGGGGGAATTTACCCGCTTTAGGGGCGTACTTTCTCAAAATATTAGGGTCGAAATAAATATAGCGCTATTACGTAGTTTCTATATTATTACGAACTATCGTAATTAACTTTCTTAATAATCGTTAACCTAGTCGTTAATCGGTTCAATCTCCTCTTCGGAGCTTCTTTTCTCTTCAAAAAGGGAAGGGGGCAATTACAATACGCTACGCGTCGAATCTTTAATTTACCCTAATCGTTCGTTCTAATCGCTATAACGCTACGCTATAGCTTTTCTTTTAATAGGATATTTAATACCGTCCCTAGTAGAGAAATAAATTGTAAATAGTGTAAAGGTACGTAACGGGCGAGGTAGGGTTATAGTATTATTAATATTTAATATAGAATTTACAATTAAAGAGTAAAATAAAAGGTAAGAGTTGTACGGGCAACTGGGCTAGAAGATATACTTCCAGACCTCGAGTGCCCGGACCACTCTCCTTATCTAATCTACAACCAATTAAATTATTTACATCCGAACGACCGTACAATACAGCCATACGACTGGGCAATAGGCATAGGTCAGTGGGACTGGGCTATAATAATTAAGATTATTATTTACTATATCCTCTATTGGCTATTTTTTAAATATAGCAAAGAGGGGTAAATAATTACTAATATTATTATTTCTACCGATTAGGGTAATTAATTTATAATTGGTTAAATTAACGACTTCTTACTATATTTATTAGGGTTAGTATTTTGGTTACTATAATCTATCGGAGTATTAATTAACCCGCTACTTCTTTATTTTAATTACTATTAAAATTTTAAAGTTATTACCGAATATAATTATATAATAACCGGTCTCATTAGTATTTTAGATTTTAGATCCTGGTATAGTATAATTGGTTATTATAGTTTCGAGAATATTAAAGAATTTTACGACGTTATTAATATATTATTAAGCCGATATACGTTTAGTTTTAATAGGCTTTACTTTAGTACTAGAGTACTAAGGGTAGTCCTTCTTCTACTTCTTATATTAGTATTTTAATATAATTAGTAATAGAGGTATACGTTTAGTATAGATTTTATTTATAGTATTTTCTATAAGATTTTTACCGGGTATACCCTTTATATTAATTAATTAATAAATATATACTTTAATTGCGAAATCTTCTACTATATTGAGGCTTATTAGCTATTTAGTACCGCGACCCTTTAAATTAGGGTAATTAATATCCTTTAGAACCTTATAATACTACTATACTACGCTTTTAACGTAATTAAATATATAAGTAATATTATATATACTAGGTTTTAATACTAATTTAGTAGTCTTTGTAATGCGCTATGTATACTATTGTCCTTGGGTAGCGAGAAGCTATCGGGCGGTACGTATAGGAGTAAATTTACATTATTCTTTTTGAAAGGTATGGGGAGCGCTTATAATGTTAATTAAATAAATAAAAGAATACTAGAGAGTACGTTATAATGTAAATATATATTGTCTAATAGGGATAGGGATAGGGATAGGGGTAGCCGTTATTATAATGTAGTAAAATAATGTTAATTAAAGTAATTTAGTTCTATTTTTGGTGCAATTCGTTAATAAAATGAAATAGGGCTATATTTGATATACGGACCTGACTAACCCTCGATTTCTGGCTATCCCTCGATTTTTTTACCTACTTTCTATAAGAGAGTGGGTGTTGCGTGCTTCTACAGATATCCCCAACCATACACCCACGGTTACCTGCCTCTACAGCTGTTGCCCGGTTGGGAGCGAGGGACATTTGAGGCTCCAAGCTCGAGCACCGGCCTAACACGCTCGACACCGACGCTGGCGTGGTTTCTGGCCGCCTCCATGGAAGTATGTAACACCACTGTATTGTGTAACCGTCAAGAGGCTGACACGTACTGACTGTGCTCATGCTGTATGCAGTAAGTACCCCGTTACATACCCCGGGGCCGTGCCCAAAGAGGTACCTGGAGAAAAGTGAGTGTGCTTGGGCGCGGCGTGAATCTCGTGTGAATCCGTAGCTTCCAATAACGGAGCTGAAATGTCAGAAGGACTTGGCATTCCGCCTTCACCACCGCTTCACACGATTTCACAGGTTTACGGGATATTTACAATGCGTACGTTTGCGGGAAGATCGCAAAACTTCACTTATCAAGTAACGCCTGATTTTTCATTCATGTGAAGACCCAGCGGTGTTCCAATACTCGTCAGGAACTAGTGGCTCGCCCACTAGTCAGACGGTCGATTTTGAAGACCTGACGAGTAGACTCTACGGTTATCAAACACACGAGGAACGCGATGATACGCCGAATCGTAATCTCTTGTAATGTACAGGTATGTACACATGCATTAGTGTGTAAGACGGTAAACGACGATCTTGATGGCCAATGCAAAAAGTTTCTAAGCTCGCTGCGATGGCTTTCGAGATACCAAGAACAAGCCATCCCTTGATTCATTTTCGTTTCATCGCATGCCCTTCTCCCCCGCATGAGCTCGAGGTACAAACTTCTCAGTTACAAGACTCAAATGTCTAATATTCTGTCTCACTTCCATAGTCCTCTACATCTGTCAGCACCACATCCCACTCGCAACTCCATTGCCCCCTCGACGCGATGCACTATCTATCATACCCAATCCCGCCCTCAAACTGTCCATCCGATGCAAGTGCTGGTAGGAGCACAAGCAGCATTCTGCTGTATACTCTTTATTCCAACGGGTCTGCATCCTGCAAGCCTCGCCTTCTGGAAGGAGAAAATGACTATCCTCTTGTTCTCCCCCCGCGTCCCGCCCTGCGAATGTTGGGTGCCAAACCCTATGAGGGGGTGGGTAGTGAGCCGGAACAACCCCCCCCCTGGGCTCCTTCAATGGAAGGATGGCATACACACTCTATGTATTGCATGCCTGTCATGTTGTGCGTTCTCTTTCACTTGGCTTTCCATTTGGGGAGGGGGGGGCTTGCAGCAGGATCGTTAGTTTGGCCATGGCGGACAAGGGGACTAGGGCTCAAGCTAGGGGGGCAGTGGACGAACCCATTCATCCTGGCTCACCTTCAGGGTCATGGTCAACATCTTCGACCTGTCTTGTGACAATAAGGCACTTTCACCCATTTCCGAGATCCGCACGAGATCCGAAAAGTTGGAGAGAGAGGTTTCGGAATGTCCTTGCCGGTTCGGCTAACTTTCGGTGTTTGAAAATCTCGAACGGTCGGGACAGGCATCGACCAACAAGCACAATCGAAAAAGTGTGTTTTCCGGGGACCATTGGGCATTGGTAATGGAGTATATCATGTCGCTAGCACCTGCTCAATGAGTTTCTCCGTCGGCGGTGGCCACCGATTTCGCTTTTTCGAGGCTCCAACCCGAACTGAAAGCAGGGGATTCGGCTGCTTTAGTATGCAGAATATATTCCACTTACTTAAAAGCTTTCTCTCCCGGAAACCGATTCCCCGAGCGAGCGCGAGCAGGATGGACAGTAGACCTAACCGCCAGTTCCATCATTATCTTATTTTCACCGTACCTTTGACATCTAGTAGTATGCTTATTGGGTCGCTGTCTCTTAGATAGGTCCTTGACGGTTGTTGTCCTCCTGCGTGGATGCCAGACTTTGTCTTGTCGCTGTTGTTGTTAGACCAACAGATAAGAAATAACACATCAAAACTTTTTTTCCCGTCTACCAGGGGTATCATGCCCATTCTCTTGATGCTGTGATATCAAGCCTTTTGTTTCTGCCCTCTTGTATCATTAAATTCTCTTCCACTCTAGGCTCCACCTACCTGCTAGTCTGCCTTCTTCTTTTCTTCTTTCTTTTTATTTGTTATTTTTTCTTATCTATTTTATTTTTTAAGATTTCGTCGAAAAACTGATGTCTCTCCTCTGCCGACTACACACACTTGCGAGCACAGTCAAGGAGGCCGGAATGACTTTGGGCCCTAACCCTTCAACGGCTCCGGCGCCGTCCCGTCAAAATGCTTCCTTCCCGCCATCCAATCAAGCTCCCATGGCCAATGCCAGGGCCGCAGTTGAACCCGAGTCCAAGTCTCTTTTCGATGACAGCCCGGAAGATGGTGAGGCTGTCAAAGAGGATGAGTTCAAAGAAGGAGGATATGGCTGGTTCGTCTTGTCTCGCTATACCCCATAATATTTTCATACCCTTCTTGTTACTGATGTTCATTGTATATAGGGTGGTAGTCTTCGGCGTATGGCTTGTGAATATGCATACGTGGGGGCTCATCTCGGTAGGCCTTTCTCCCTGCGCTTTCCCACCACAAGTGAAGGAAGATTGCTGACTCAGTCATACACCATATAGTCCTATGCCATCTTCTTAGCCTACTACTTGCGATCCGGCTCAATCATAGGGGCTTCCCCTCTTTTCTTCGCCTTTATTGGCGGTCTTTCTACGTCGATGGGTGCGCTACTCTATGTCACCAAAGACCTTCCTTCAAGCAAGGTGATGTGATGTATCTAGTCTCCGCTAACACTCGCTTATGTTCTCTTCTGTAGCTCTTCTCGTGTCGCCCCTTGCCACTTATAGTATCAAGACTCTGGGGACTAGGATCACGCTCTTCATAGGTGCTGTCTTCGAAGCGTAAGTCAACCTTAACTAACCTGTGTTTCCCTTTGTTGCACAACGTAGTAGTTGACCTTTGCACTAATCGTGTCTTGTACAGCGGCTCATTCATCGGCGCCTCCTTTTCTACCCATGCGTGGCAGCTTCTTCTGAGCCAGGGCGTCTGCTTTGGCCTTGGTATGGGTTTCTGCTTCACAGCTACCGTCGGTATTGTCCCGCAATGGTTCACCAAGCGGCGATCTTTCGCCAATGCCCTGGCAACAGGCGGTTCCGGATTCGGTGGTCTCACCTACGCTCTGGGAGCGAACGCCATGATCACAAATCTCGGGTTGGAATGGGCATTCCGCATCCTGGCCATCACCTGCTTCACCGTGAACGGCTGCGTCAGTCTGATCATCAAAGATCGTAACAAGGCCGTCGGGGCCAAGCATATAGCTTTCCACAAGGATCTCTTCTTCCAGCCTGAGTATTGGCTCTTCGTCGGCTGGGGATTCTTTGGTATCATCGGCTACATCATCGTCGTCTTCTCCATTGCAGACTTTGCCCTACAGGCTGGCTTCACTAGCAATCAAGCATCGTTGGCGTCGGCCATGTTCAACTGTAAGCGTCGCCCATTTTCCTCGCGCTGAAAGTATGGCAAGCAGCGTCTCAGTCTTGTTCATCCACGCTAACCATTTCATCTCATTTCAGTATCCCAAGCGCTTGGCAGACCTGCAATCGGTCTCCTCAGCGATAGGCTAGGAAAGATGAACGTCGCTGGAATAGGGACTCTTATTGCCAGTGTAGTCGCCTTCTTTTTGTGGATCTTCGCCGGCAAATACTTCGCCGGGCTCATCATCTACGCGCTCTTTGGCGCGGTAGCCGGCATTCTTTGGCCATGCGTGGGGCCTGTAGGAGCGGAGGTTGTTGGTATACAGCTATTGCCCGCAGGTAAGTGACACCATTCGTACGTGTACGAGTGATACCCATCTCCTTTGAAAGACTAACGTTGTGGACTACAGCTCTTTCTCTGTACTGGATTGTCCTTGTTTTTCCTGCGACTTTGTAAGTATTACCCTTGATCGTTGTGTTGTCCGAAAGAGGTTTGTCGGCTAACGGACCTTATACACTGCAGTGCCGAGGTGATCGGACTGAGTCTCAAGCGGGAGATGATTGGAGCAGGCGTATATTTGAATGTGCAGGTGTTCACTGGTTTCATGTTCTTTGCATCCTTCTTGTCCAGTAAGTATACATATCAACTCTTCCGTCTACCTCACCGAATACCCATGGATTTACTAATCATGCCTTCTCGATGCAGTGTGGCTCCTAAGAAGCTGGAAACTCCGTCAAACGGAATATCTCGGCTTTTACGAAAAGGGGCAGGAGGCGGCCATTCATAATGTCGCTGTCATTCATCCCAGCGAAGAAAGCAAGCATGAGGTGGTTTCTACCAGGAGACAACAAAACACTGTTGTCTCATACATAACGAACATGTTTGTCATGAAGCGTCTATAACTCCATATGCGGTTCGTCCGACAAGGAATCGTGTATAGATGCCCCCCTTAGATACAATATCCTTCCATGTCATTACGATGATGGTAATGAAATATACAGCCCATGATGTCTCTACTTGAATTCAGGAAAAGAAATCTATTATTATTTTTATAAATTTTTTTTCTTTTTTTTTTTTTTCTTTTTCAGCTTTTCGCCTTATTTTGCTTGACGTCATCTGGCAACGATTTGAACAATCACCCGCAAAACTATCCATCTACCTGCGAGACAACTCGATCGCCTTGGCCGCCGCCACCTCAAAATCATCAAACGCATAAAGCGGCAGCTGACTATCCGCAGTGATCTTCTGTCCCTCCGTCTCGTTCGTACCCCTGATTCTCACCACAACCGGAACCGTAAGCGACAGCTCCTTAAAGGCCACAACGATGCCGTGGGCAATCATATCACCCCGTGTCAGTCCTCCAAAGATATTCACAAATACCACACGCACGCGCGGGTCCTGCAATATGATCATAAAGCTTTCTTTCACCGTCTCACTCGTAGCTTTGCCGCCTGTGTCCAAGAAGTTGGCCGCCTTCCCGCCCGCGTCCGCAAGAGCGTCGACCGTGTTCATGGCCAGCCCGGCCCCGTTCACCAGCGTCCCGATGGTTGCGTCCTCCCCGGGCAGCTTGATGTACACGATGCCGCTCCGTTCCGCCTTGACCTCGGCCGGCTCATCGGTAGCGCGGACATACATAGCCTTGATCTTGTCCGGAGGCGTGCCGTTGCGGAAGGTGGCTTGATCGAAGGCAAAGCGGGCGTGAACGACTTTTATTTCTCTGAGTCGCTCGACGATGTGCGTCGTCAGGAGGAGTCCCTCCTTTTCATAGAACAGAGTGGTCAAGGTCTCGATGAGCCGCCGGAGTGAGTCGACCGCGCTGTCTCCCTTGTTGCTCAGCTGGAGGTAGCTCGCGAGCCGTTCGATGGCCAATTCGTCGGGTCCCCGGCGGTAGTCAAACGGAAAGCTCTTGACCGGCGCGGAGGTGCGCTGGGCCCCTTCCATCCAGTCTTCGATAGAAGGGGCGACCAGGATGGCAGGAGATCGTGCTGAGCGATCGATGCCGACGGCTAGAAGGCGGCGGGTGCCATGGCCGGAATAGGGGCCGCAGTTTATCCCGCCGCGGGCGCGGAGCTCATCAAAGCATTGGTTTACATCGAGATATATACTCCGTCGTTGTTGATACTGCTGCTTGTTATGGACAGATAGACTGGCCGCGGGAGAACGCCGTCCGGGCCCTCTCATAAAGTGAAGCTGACGCCTTTGCATGCCAGTCGCGAAAGGTTGGGATCTGCTCGTCGTGCCGGACCCAGTTGTGCCTTCTCGCAACTTTGTCTTTAGAGTATCGCCTATTTTGGCTGGGTGATTAACCATGGTCACACCAGATTCCTCGAGTGCTGCGATCTTCGCCTTTGCAGTAGGTTCTCCAAGGAACGTAAAAGCACCGGCATGCCCCATTATGCGGCCCGGTGCCTCATTTACGCCGGCTATAAGACCAATAATCGGCCTGTCAAGTACCATGTTAGCCATTTCACAGACCCAATACATGGCGGCGAAGATTTAGTAGGCTGTATGACATACTTGGGAGATTTACTACGAGAGTAGTATTCTTTGATCCAAGCTGCAGCCTCGAGCTCTCCCATTCCACCGATCTCACCAATCAAAGCGATGGCTTCAGTGTCTGGATCTTTCTCAAGGACACTCAACGCTTCTACCATGTCCGTTCCAGGTACCATGTCGCCGCCCACGCCTATGCACAGACTCTGTCCAAGCCCGGCCCTGGTGGTTGATGCAACAGCTGCAAAGTAAGCAGTGATTAGTATGAGATGAGCATCCATATTGGGGGATGACTTCAGAGACACCTTGGGAAAGGGAGAGTACTGCCTACTTTCGTAACTCAAAGTGCCTGATTTGGCTACAATTCCCACCCGCCCTGGCGAAAAGCATGGCAATGGTTGGAACCCTATCAAGGAAGATATTGACATGTTAGTCTTTACCTTTACCAGGGACCCAAGTCCCACCCACGATGTGCTGTATGTGGGCGGTCGAGACTACTTGCTTACCTACTCGACACTTCCCTACAGCCGAGATGATGCCGGGAGAGTTAGGACCGACAAGTCTCGACTTGGACTGAGTCTTGAGCATGGAGTGGATCTAGACATACAAGTGTCAGTATATGAGGGCCGAGCGTAACTGGGCCTCTTGTGCGAGGAGCTTACTCTGAGCATGTCGTGAACTGGAATATGCTCGGCGACAGCGACTATAAGTGGTACTTCGGCTTCGATGGCCTCTTCGATAGCCCCGGGGGCCTGATGGGCGGCAACATAGATGCCTGTTGCGTCCGGCTTGAGATGCTCCATGGCCTATAAGCCCAATGTTAGCTCTTTCGGGGTTCTAGAATTGGATGAAAGGCTTGACCAGGACGTAGAGAGCTGGCTGTCGGTTCCATTTCTAACCTGGCGTACGGAAGGTAGCACGGGAAGGCCGAGATGCTCTCCGGTGCGGCCCGGGATCACACCACCGACTATCTTGGTCCCCCATGCTAAAGAGTCCTTAGCATTTGCTGTGGCCTGAAAGTCCCGCTCCACGTTAGCTTGGGTGTACAAAGGAAATAATCATGAAGGAATGGCAGGGTGATCAAACCTGTTTTCCTGTAAAGCCCTGAAAAATCACGCGCGTGTTGCTGTTGATCCGAAGAGACGGCAGAGTGTCTGCATATGAGCCATGTAGTGGTTGGCAGGTGGTGAAGAAACGTCGGCTGCTTGTTGGCATTTGTAGCCTACAAGCCCATTGGCTTCGAAGGCTATGTACGGGCGAGTAATGCCTAGCGTGTTGATACATAGCCATGTTGATTTGGTTGATCACCTCTGGCGGCCGTGATGCAGGGGATTCTGGGAATATCTGTGCAAGTTGCAGAAACCCACCAGGCACAATGGATTAGTACTGTAGTACTTCCGACCTAGTAGGCGACTACCTTTAGGTATGTTGGACGGTTGCTGTGATGTAAGGGTGTGGTCTGATAAAGATGTCACAAGTGGGATGATAGAGTAGCCAAGGTTCGCACTTGATGACAATAAGTAGGCATCGAACTCCAAAGAACGGCAAGACCGTTTTGAAGATTTTGTTATCCGAACGCCATGTTAGGAAGATGGAGAAGCAGGAAAGACCATCTTTACTTGCACGCGCAGTAAATGTGAGTCCAGCTTTCCAGGGGACATCTATGGAGCTTCAACCTGCACCTTGTCTTGCTATTCCTCTCTTTCAGTAGGGCGAATGAATGCGGCCAACTCGGTAGCGGATTTGTGAAACGGTAAACTCGGAGCCGTGACGGTGATAGTCCCGGCGCCTAGGGATGGGATCGACAAGAAGGTATGCCTCCGCACAAAGGGTTGGCGCTAGCTGGTGGCAGGGGTAACAGGTGTTTGTGGTGCAACTTGCAAGCTTTTGACAAGACAGACGATTTGAGAAATGGAAGGAGACGTCGGCAAAGGCCAAAGATGTGATTTTTTTTTCCTTTTCCCCCATACATGTCATCAAGCAACGCTGGTTACAACTCAAGCCTCTCACCACCGTAACTCTCCCTTCACGCCCTTTTCAGCCTCAGCGGCCGGCTTGGGCGTACTTGATGGTTCGTTTTCCTTGAAGCCTAGGTTTTTGAAATCATCTTTGGCCATCAAGTTGCTGAATATCGCATGGTTAGCGCGGGACCAGACAGAGACATTCAGGGAGATGTAGCTGCCACCCACCGTTCCATGCGGCATGTGAGATAGGCCTTTGCCAGCGATCGACACTCATCTTCGTTGACTCCCTTGACCCTCTTGATGCAGGCAAGGTAGGTTGTCATGACGTGTTTGCATTCTCCTGGAGGGCAAAGTATGAGTGAGAGCCGAGACCAGTGTATACATGCATTGGCTGCTGAGCCTTACCGTCATGATCCAGGGGAAAGCTGCCTCTCTGGGGCCTTGAGGTGTTGTTGGTCAGTTGGACAAGCCTTCAGGGTAGAACATTGCATTCTGGGCTCGTGGACTTACGGCGTGGGTTTTGTTGTTGGCAAGGCACCGGGACTTCCAAAGGTACTCATATTGCAAAGCCGGTGACGGTGATGGAACTGCCGCAAAGTTGGTAGTCAAACGAAACCAGGGCAGGGTATTTTGGTTTTTGTTTAGCTTAGGTAGAGGTAGCTTTTACCAAGTTTTGGGTTCCCCCCTCTGTGGTTTTCCTCCTCTTGTAGGGCGTTCGCAGTTGGGGATTCGAGGTGTGCGACTGCCCGCTGGACGGGACCGGAGTCTTGAATGCGGATGAAGTGCCCCTGGAAATCGGCATTCCAGCACGGTCTCAGCTACCTGGACCCTAACGTGGCAGGCTCCTGAGATACCTGCCTACAGGGTAAGCTTTGTTAGTGCAACTGAGCAAGCGCTGAATGGGAAGGCCAGGGGCATTATGCCCGGGTTCGGTTTTACCGGAAGGTGGCAGCACGGAGGTTACAGATTACTGCGTAGGTACCTAGGGTGGATAGTGGATCGTGGACGGAGATACGCTCGGGACCATAGAGCTACGGTACGAACGAAGTCGTCTTGATGCCCATGGGGAACTGTTTCTGCATGCATCCCGGAAACAGACTCCGATGTTCAGATCGGCAGGCCAGCGACATGTGCTGAGTGGACGACCTCCGAAGGTCCCGTCTCTCGCTCCGCCCTCCGTCCACCGTTGTCTGAGCCCGCGGTCCGCAGCCCGGCCGGGAGCCAAGAACTTCGGATCAACGGACAAGCCAGATGACGCACCGTGTCATGCCTGCTCATCCCCGCCATCCCGCCTTCCCGCTATCGAATTTCAACCTCTATACCTAGAGGTATGTATAGTGTAGTGGTGTAGTGGACAATGTACATAAGAGGTGCTTGTCTGTGGAGCCGTGGCAGTTGAGCTTCAAATTCTGAACTCTTCTTTGAGCCGCCGAGAGCCAGTCACAGACCCCGGTGTGTTGTCGGGTACGCAGGTCAACGTACCGGTTGCATGAAGGCCTGGAAACCTGTTCATCAGGCCGGGTCGGGTTCGATTTGCCCGGGTGCAGGCGCGACGACAACGCATCAAGGGAACTGCCCCCTTCGAGCGAGGTTTTAAACTTTTGACGACCAAGTGAAAGTGGGGACGTGGAACTTGACCCGAGGGGACCATGGACCGACCCCTCCCTCTCCCTCACTGTGTCGAGTGAATGGGTGTGTTTGCAACGCTTTGGATTCTGGAAGCGCGCCCCCTCCCCGGGGTTATAGATTTTTGGCATCCACATCGACGTCCACATCCACATCCACACTCACCATCGAGGCGCCGCGACAACTACTGAGGGCATCCCTCATCGCTTCAGGTTTCGAGCTGTCTGTGTGCTGCCTTGAACTCGTTGTACGTATCGGCTGCACTTGGATAGATCATCGATCGCCTTGTCCCGCCAGTCAGCCAACAACAGGCAACACAAGTTTCTTGGTTGTAAACTCTTTTCCCGCGCTGAAGCCGATCCGCTTGATCCAAACCACCTGCCCGACTCGGGTTCTGTCGCCAGCCTCTTCTCCTGCCACCCGCCCGCACAGCCGCCAACCACTTAGCACTCGTCTTGTATTTACCAATTTTCTGAATCGACGAGACCATCGACCCTCAGATAGACCCGGGAGCCCACTTGCCCCCATACACCCACCCGGTCCCGTGCGACCGCCCGAATCGTGACCTCGTCCTGCCCGACCTCGGGCCCGTTTTCACACTTCCGTCTTGCGCTCAACTCCGCTTCCGCCCACCTTCTCGCTTGCGTTTGCGACTGATCTTCTCGGCTTTTTTCCCGCTCAACCGTCATCATGGCTGCTCTCGGTGACGATCTGCTGGGCGTTGTCAACAAGTTGCAAGACTTGGTCTTCAACACCATCGGCAACGATTCCCTGGATCTGCCCCAAATCGTACGCAATACCCGCCCACCACCTTCACCTGTCCGCTCCATGCCCGCAACCGCTCCTTGCCCCATCGTCCTTCTTTTCCCTTCCTTTTCCGCCATCAGACTGCTGACGACCCCTGCTCTCCATCACAGGTTGTCGTTGGATCCCAGTCCGCTGGAAAGTCGTCCGTCCTCGAGAACATTGTCGGTCGCGACTTTCTTCCCCGCGGCAGTGGAATCGTTACTCGGAGACCCCTCATTCTTCAGCTGATAAACGTCCCCGCCGACGACGACGCCGAAGATGCAACCCATCCCAGCTACAGGAACCCCAATGCTGCTGGCCGCAACGAGTGGGCAGAGTTTCACCACATTCCCAATCGGAGATTCACCGATTTTGGCGACGTCAAGCGCGAAATCGAAAATGAGACCGCGCGAGTTGCGGGTACCAACAAGGGAATTAACCGCCAGCCCATCAACCTAAAGATTTTCTCTCCCCACGTTTTGAACCTAACGCTCGTTGATTTGCCTGGTCTCACAAAGGTACGTCGCTTTGAAGCTCTGGTGAACATGCCGTCATAACTTGGTCTAACGTATATCCGTGCAGGTTCCCATTGGAGACCAGCCTACAGACATAGAGAAGCAGACGCGCAACCTCATCTCCGAGTACATTGCAAAGCCCAACAGTATTGTCTTGGCTGTCTCGCCCGCTAACGTCGACATTGTGAACTCGGAGGCCTTGAAGCTTGCCAGGCATGTCGATCCCATGGGTAGGAGGACCATTGGTGTTCTCACAAAGGTCGATCTCATGGATCACGGAACAAATGCCCTGGACATACTGTCTGGTCGGGTCTACCCGCTCAAGCTTGGTTGGATTGGCGTGGTAAACAGATCGCAGCAGGATATTCAGGGCAACAAGCCCATGGAAGAGGCCTTGAAGTCCGAGTCCGAGTTCTTCAGGCATCATCCCGCGTATCGAAACATCTCCACCCGTTGCGGAACTCAGTTCCTCGCCAGGACCCTCAACACCACCTTGATGGCTCACATTCGCGAACGCCTGCCAGACATCAAGGCTCGTCTTAATACCTTGATGGGTCAAACCCAGCAGGAACTGGCAAGCTACGGGGACATGCACTTCAGTGGCAAGGAGCACCGAGGTTCTCTTATTCTGCAGCTCATGACCAGGTTTGCGTCATCTTTCATCGCGTCCATTGACGGTACCTCGACGGAAATCTCGACAAAAGAGCTCTGCGGCGGTGCTCGTATCTACTACATTTTCAACTCGGTCTTTGGAAGCTCTCTGGAATCGATCGACCCCACTTCCAATTTAACCGCCCTCGATATCCGGACCGCGATTCGCAACTCGACTGGTCCCCGGCCTAGTTTGTTTGTGCCTGAGATGGCCTTCGATCTCCTTGTCAAGCCCCAGATCAAGCTTCTTGAGCCACCCAGTCAGCGCTGCGTAGAGTTGGTATATGAGGAGCTCATCAAGATCTGCCACACTTGTGGCTCGACTGAGCTATCGAGGTTTCCCAGGCTGCAAGCCAAGCTCATCGAAGTTGTTTCTGACTTGCTTAGGGAACGGTTGGGTCCCGCGTCCAACTATGTCGAGTCGCTAATTTCCATCCAGAGGGCTTACATCAACACTAACCACCCCAACTTCCTCGGTGCGGCTGCAGCAATGAGCCACGTTGTGAGCAATAAGCAGGAGAGAGAGAGGAAACGTCTGATTCAAGAGGAGCGCGAAAGACGTGAACGGAGACGGCTGAAGGAGCTTGGTACGAATGCCACCGAGATCCCTATTGAAGGGGAAGAAGAAAGTACTACCCTGGAGAAGACGGACAACGTCCACGTGCGCAAAACCGCTGGAAAGGGTGCCCGCAGCATGTCTCCGGCTGTCCGGGAGAACGGCCCCGGCAGCATTGCAAGCGCTTTGAACGGAGCCAGATCGAATTCTCCTTCTCGCTTTAACGGAGGGCAAGGCGTGGGTAATGCCAAGGAGTCCTTTCTGAACTATTTTTTTGGCAAAGACGGAGCCATTGTTCCCGGTCCTTCAAACAGCGGCAACATTGGACGCCATGTCAACCAGGCCATGGAGCCTACATTTAGCCAAAGCATGAGACGCCCAGACGACAGACAGGTGCGAGCGCCTGCTCAGTCGATAAAAGTGGATGATGACATGGACTATGTCGGCAATGCGAAGGGCACTGAGCTTGTGAGTTGGCCATATTCGCTTTAAGTCTCTTGCTTTTTTTTTTTTTTTTTTTTTTTTTTTTTTTTTTTTTTTTTTTTTGTTGTGCGGCCTATGCTAACAACTTTCTGATGCAGAGCAATGACGGCGAGCCGGCCATGACAGATCGCGAGGCTATGGAAGCCGAGCTGATCCGGGCTTTGATCAGCTCCTACTTCAACATTGTGCGCGAAAGCATCGCAGATCAGGTGCCCAAGGCGATCATGCATTTACTAGTCAACCACTGCAAGGATGTTGTTCAAAACCGCCTTGTTAGCGAACTTTACAAGGAGACGCTGTTTGAGGAGCTGCTTTATGAGGATGATGCAGTGAAAAAGGAGCGGGAGAAGTGCGAAAAGCTGCTCCAGACATATCGGGAGGCGGCCAAGATCATTGGTGAGGTTGTATAAGGCTGGGCTCTACCTTTCCTCAGGCTACACCTACAGACCTTGCGAGGCCGACTCTGGTAGCAGCAGTACGACTGATGTATGTATTATGAATCTATCAGACTTAGAAAGGGGTTATGGCAGTTTCTCAATGGAGGCACTTGTGGCTTGTGTGTTTTTTGTTTCACGACTTTTGATAAGAGTAGCCCCCTGCTGGCTAGCTGCAGTGATATCTTGCCGTTCCGCGCAGCAAAGGGTGACGTATACGAGGATGGCGACTTTCTCCGTCTCGGAGGTAAACTGGGAGCTTCTTGAATAGACAATACGTGTCTCTGGAAGGAATGTGCACTACTTAGATAATGGTGCTCATCGCTTAAATGTCAATTTCTCGTCTGGAAAATAGAGTGATACTATGCCGTAATTTGAAGCTTGACCGAGTTGTCACTCGGACAGATAGGATTCGCGTGTACACTGTTCATATAAGCGTCAGGTACAAGTACTTAGCTAAGGTAATTAGTGTATTTAGACCGACTAGTGCCAGTATAGTACACTAGGTA